GACCTCTGTGTTAAAATATAGGCTTGGCGCAAAGGATCAGAAGGGCTGATGGGGGAATCCTGAATCCTGGGGAATCCTGAAACATCTGGGGACTGTAGAAGAGAAGATCTGTGGCTCAGGACTGAACTGTGGGGTTGTTGTTATATAGTGCTTTCTTGAGTTTGGTTGGTTGTTCGCAGGGGGTTCATTGCCCAGCTGGGTAATTAACTGGATAAGTAGTTGGGTAATAAGTATCTGCAAACCAAACACAGCACCAATAATTCTGTAGCTGTATTCCATATTCTGAGGGCAAACCTAATGGGCATAACAGGAGTCTGTTCAGCTGCATTCTGTCCATTCAAAAGTTATTTAAAGAAACGTTGGGCAGGTTAACTCTATTGCAAAGGTTATTTTTTTCTCTGCCTGGGGGTAGCTTTGATTAGTTCTTGGGATTTTTGTCAATAACCTATTCAAGTGAAGTGTGAACGTAATCAATAACCATTTTAACAGAGAAAGGATGCACAATAAGTTAAAACCGAGTAGATGAATATATAGAGAAATAAGCCAGGATTGGTATAAAGGTAAAATATGTAAGCGACAATAGTTTATAAGAAAATGTGATTATTGATACTTTGGCAAGGAAAGTATGCTAATTATAATTATTAGCACAAGATATATGTGCCCAGTTGCCACACTGTTTAAATGAAAGATGGACTTGTTGTAAATATAAAATAAAAAACTTTTATGACAAAAAGAAAGAAAGAAAGGACACACCGTACCAGAGAGGTTAGGTTTCTTTCATCTTTCATTCATACATCCTTCCCCCCCACCTCTAAAGGTCAAGGCAGCATAAAAAGCATCCTATTTGATCCCCCAAACTAGCTGTATTTTATAGGTCAGGGAAAGAGGGTGCAACTGATCCAAATTATCCAGGAGATGAATAACCGAATGGGAAAATCTTCCTGGTTTACTGAGTCTGAGCAAACCATGATGACATGTATGCGCATGTTGTCAACAAACACAGTCACTGTCTGCTTGCATCCCAATATCTGAGGTGAGGGCAGGAGTGATAGCATTTTCATGATGACATATATCAACCTTTATACATATAAAACCAGGATTCTTGAGTCTCTGCTCCAAGTCTAATCCACCAGCCAATAGCAAGGATTCATGTCTGTTAGATTTCTGGAATTTGTACATCCAGGAAGCAATTATTATTAGGATATGGTGTTGTTACAGTAGCCAGGAGGCTACAACGCAATTTCAGAATAGTAGTTGAGCTGCCAAGGTACCAGCTCTGTTGTAGGAAACACACACTGTCCATGGTGTACCACAAGGGAGTGAGCTTTACACCAGAAAGAAAGACCAGTGGTTCTATCTTCCTGCAGCAGCATCCAAGGTCCCCTTCCTCCCTTGAGCTGCCTTGCAAGCAGACACCGCAATCAGGAAGGTTCAGAGGACAGGAATCTGGCTGCCTGCATGGAGCACCAGCTCGTCTTCTCTCTCTCTCCCCCCAGTGCCCCTATCGGAGCCTGAATCCTTGGAGAAGGATGAGTCGGAGCTGTGGCCGACAGAGACTGAGGGGACAGCTTGGTTGGCTTTGGAGGAATGGAGGAAGGAGCAAGATGAGGCATCCCCAGGGCCCTCAGGCTTGGGATGGCTTGCCAGCAGGGAGGAACAGGGGCAGGATGACCAAGGGAAGGCAAGCAATGGAGATGAAGAGCGTCGGAGCTCAGGTGATGAGCAGGGACTGACCCCTCCTGATCCCTGAGCATGGAGTGGAGAGGAGGTGGGGACAGCGCAGGAGGAGAGCACCCCACTCCTCTTCACAAGGCACACCTGGGATCTGAGGCTTAAGGAGATATTATGGGGAGGGGCATTTGTCAGGAACAAACACTGAATTTGTGGAGTGTTGTGCGATGTTGCTGATGTTTGGGAGTTTCCTGGACTTTATTCCTTGCTTCCTGAAACCATTGCCTCGTTCCTTTGTTTCCTGAACTCATTGACTTATTCTCTTGCCCCCCCGCTGGATTCCTTGCTTTAAAGCCATTGTGCTAACAGCATTTTGCTGGACTGCTTGCAGCCAGAGACTGTTAGAGGTGTGTTTGTGTGTGTGTGTGTGTGTGTGTGTGTGTGCCAGGGAGAGAAAGAGAGAGCGAGAGCCCTTTGCTCTGGGACTTGCCATAAATATGGGAGTGTTTGGGGGAAAGTTGGAGCAATAAATGGGTGGTTTGAACTATCAGCTGACTGTGTTGCCTCCGTGCTTTGCCCCAGGTCATTACGGGTTATCTACTCACATAGAACATGCTTTCAAACTGGAAGGGGTGCAGAAGCTGAGGTGAGTGATGGGAACTCACCCCGACACACAGTGCTGGGACTCAAACCACTGGAGCAAAAATCATTTCCAGCATCATTAAACCACCAAGCCACTGCGCCTCTAGGAAGCAATACAAGCACTTCAGCTGACTCATTAGGAATCAGTCCTTATTTCAGAAACAATGCAGCCTTTCCACATGCTGAGTTGCAGTGCTCTCCTCTACCCATCCTTGCAAGGCCCCAGAAAACTATCCCCAGAAAAATATTTGATGTTCCTGGTGCTGATCTGTTATCTTGCCTCTGTTTCAGGTGATGGCAGTCACCTGACTTCCTTCAAGGTAATAAGTGGCAAAGTAACTGTGAGAGGGAACTTAAAGTCCTGGGGAATGATCCCTGAAATATTAGCCAATAGTCTGCAGCCGCCACCCAAAAAAGCAGATGCAGTCCTAAGCTGCATTAATAGAGAGAATCAAGATCACGTGAAGTTTTGGTACCTCTGTACAAAGCCTTAGTACGACCACACTTGGAATACTGTATTCATTTCTGGTCACCACAATATAAAAAAAGGATGTTAAGACTTTGGAAAGAGAAGAAGAACATGAATGATTAGGGGTCTGCAAGCTAAAATATACAAAGAATGGTTACAGGAACTGGGTATGTCTAGTCTAGTCTAATGAAAAGAGGGTCTAGAGGAGACATGGTAGCAATGTTCCAATATTTGAGGGGCTGTGTTCCAGGATGTGGGAATCTAAACTATTTGCCAAAGCATCATAAGACAAGACAAGAAACAATGATTAGAAATTAACCAAGGACAGAAACAACCTAGAACTAAGGATAAATTTCCTAACAATGAGAGCAATCAACCAATGTCAGCCTTCAAGATCTTCTACTTCTGCTTTGCATCTTTCGGCTGCCATAAGTAACGGGGGGAGGAGGGGGGACAAGTATGGGAAGTGAGCTGGAGGTGGTAAAACTTAGCATTGTATAAATTGAGGAGGGGGGGAGTACATTCTTGCTTAGGTTTCTATTTCTTGCTTAGCTTTCTTTTCTCTGCGCAGCTGCAAACCTTTATCAAAGTATGCCAAGGTCAACGGATAGAAACTTCATCACCACCTGAAGATGTCCACATGATGATATTCACAACTTTTAATTGGAAGAACCATTTGAACTATTGGGGGTGGGAACATTTCCATCACTTTGCATATGTGATTTACGCGCCTATTTCTTCAGA